ATAGTTCTCCGAAAAAGTGGATCCACACCCGGTAAGGTCACAAGACACGGACAGAGACAGAAGCATGTCAGTAGTGGGGTGAAGGAAGTACCCGCGAGCCGACCGTACTGCTTTTCTCCTAGTCCCTCCTGCTTCGTGGTTCCTTGCGAATGTGGGGAACACAGCAGTTGGGGGCTCAGGTCACGGATATCAGCGCCCATCGGAGCTCCTTCTGGCCACTCTTCCACGTGACCTGCCCCTTCGTCGTCTCATCGCTTTCACGAGATGGTCCTCTGCCGAGTAAAGGCATTTTGAAGACGGATGACACTGCAGGCTGAGGGCTAGGGAGCCGGGCGAAGGCACCTGTTGCCGGGCCAGCCACCCATCCTGGAAATCTCTGTGCCTCGCGATTGCTCCTGAGCCCCACATCGACCCTTCCTTCCCTTGTCCCTAGTTTTTGTCAGAATTCTGCTTTTGTTGGAGTTCTTCAGAGAATGTGACCTCCTGTTGACCCCAAGGTGGCTCGGGCCATCGGAAGGCCCTCCTCCCTTCCCCTGTCCTTGAATGTAAGTTCCTCTCCGTCCTAGGAGCTGTTACAAGATCCCAGATTCAGGAGGAGTGCTGTTGGGCCCATCTGGACGGTGCCTGGGATGAAGCCCACGTAGGCGACTATATAAACTTCTAGGGTTCTGGCCGGTTGTGCACAGACCTCCTCGTGGGCCCGCCCAAGACCCGCCTGGTATGTATGTTCCTTGCTTCTCCAACCTGCCAGGAGCCATGCGGAGTGGCCTGCCTCTTTGGCGGTCTGTCCCTGTCTACCCGGTAAGAGTCCGGTGGCTGATTTCACTCAGATGCTCCGCAGGGAGCTCACAGGCGCCAGAGGCCAGGAGAGCAGAGACGTGGGTCCGGAGAAGGGGGCATCCTTGGCGCATCCCAGGCTTGGCCACAAGGCTGTGTGTGGGGAAGTGCGGACGTCCGTCAGATGTCTGGGGACACCCCGACAGCCCCAGGCGGTCTGATGCGCTCGTGGGGGGAGCTGCGGCGGGTCCCCCCGACAGAGACGGGGAGCCCACGGCTGCGGGGCGGGCCGGCCTCTGCTGTGGACAGATGGGCCGCCAGCGGTGCCCAACGACAGGCCGCAGCTCGGAAAGCAGGGTGGAAGAAGAGCTGCGGGTAGAGAAGGGGCTGCGGGGTGCACCTCTGCACGGGCCCGGGGTGGTGGAGAAGGCGGGACAGCAAGGTGGCACCTTGGAGACTTTGGGCGCCTGTTTGCAAGGTTCCGGGCCACTGGCTGCCTTCGGATTCTGGTCTAAGTGCTGGGACGCCGCCTGACAGCCGCTAAGAGGGAGGACTCGGGAGTCAAGAGGAGGAGGCCCTGGTGACGGAGGGGGACAGGGACTGCGCCCCGTGCCCTCTGACCCCTGAAACAAAGTAAATCCTAGTGGCACAGCCCCAGGCCGGGGGACCCCCAGCTGGGGAAAGTGCTGGATGATGGCTCCTATGCTCGCCGAGCTCACTGACAGAGGGGCCCATCCCAGCCACAGGCCAGGGCATGCCTGCACCCGGGAATCCGTGGCTGTGGGATCCGGGCCGATGGCTGCTTGACAAGGGGCCCAGGCCCTAGGCAGTGACAAGGGGGGGGCCCAGAGCCCTAGGCAGTGACAAGTCAGGGATGGACGCTAGGGTGCGGACACTGTGAAGCTGAGGTGGATGATCATGAATAAGCCCTCGTGAGGTCAGGACATGTGCAGAGACATTGGGGATCGCCCGCCCGGCAGTCTTTGCTGTTTCCCACACTCTGGCTCCTGAGGCGCTGGGACTCCCGGCCATGAGGAAGCCGATGCCCTCGCGGAGCCCTAGCCACCGCCCCTGCGGCACACCCAGCAGATGGCGAGCGAGGGCGGGCTGACCACAGCGCAGCACCAGGCACGACGGGACCGGACCAACAGCGACTTGGTTAATGCAGCAACAGCCTGCCCTGTGCGTTCCAAACTGTGTCCCAGGCAACTGCCCTGGGACCTGGGCCCATCTGCCCGAGTTCCCGACGGGTGACGGGGTGGCAAGCGATTGCACGGACCCGTTGGCTCCCACGGAGAGTTCTCCATATGGCCCGGTTTGTGCAGACAACCCATGTCTCCTGATGCCGACTTTCCCCCACTGGGCAAACCGAGACCGCCCTCATGAGGGGACCGGAGAAGCCGAGTACTGTGTCCACATACCCTCGTCAAACTGACAGTGATCGGGGTCACGGTTTAAGTGACTGGGCCAAGGAACGTGACACGGCGTGGTGGTTCCCAACCGCTGGAGACCTGTGGGCAGCAGGAAGGTAGAACAGAAGACTGGGAGATTAAAGCAGCAGATTAAATTGTCAACAGTGAAACCACCTTGGTCTGGTGGACTTCACAACTGTCCTAGGTTTAGGTTAATACATTTGGAGGACCACGAAGGAGGGCCTTTTTGTTAGCTCATCCCGAACTGGGAACCCCTGCCGAGATACCCAGCATCATAAAGCTATGGAAGTCTCAGGACACAGCCATTGTTCTGACTCTCCAGGTGGATCACTGTGCTTTGCTGCTCAGGACACCAAGCCCCATGGGGCTGGGAGAGGCGTGATCATCCGGAATTTGCCAAGGGATGTACACCAGCATGGGTGTGTTTCTTCTTAGCTGTTCAGGGAGGGGAAGCTACTCCATGCCCTCTGGGATCCCACTGCTGTCCTGAGATGCACTGTACCCAGACTGGAGCAGGCAGCATACCCGGGTCGGGGGCCGCACCGTACCCGGCTGGGAGCACGCACCGTACCCGGCTGGAAGCGTGCACCGTTGTTAGAAGGGAGAAGGTGTTTTCCTGCTCCGGGGATCCCGCTCCCAGTCCATCTCCTCTCGCCTGACAGTGTTGCCTTCCCTGACCAGCGTGTGCGGGACACACAGCCAGGTCACGTTCCCCGCCGCTGTGGCCACATTAGCGTGAACAGGTCAGGCCACAAGTGCGATTCTTGCACAAGGGGAGTCCCTCCCCGTACAAGCACTGTCTTTGTCTTTCCCGCCTTGGACTTCTGCAGCTCCTCTGGTGTCCGGTGACAGAATGGGCCCCAGATGCAAAGGCCTTTCTACAGCGTGGCCACCCCTAAGCGGCACAGGAAGCGAGCCGACTGGGCGCGTAGCCAGAGAGCTCGCAAACGAGCCTCCTGCATGCCGAGGAAACGCCTGGCTGAGCGCTCAGGACGCCTTGTGGAAGAGGGAAATGTACAAGGTTGTAAGAGCCAGGCCCGACGGGTGGGATGCTTGCGTTGTGTTTCAAGTTTTTATTTAAACTCCAGTTACTTACCATACAGTGTACTATTAGTGTCAAGTGTAGAATTCAGTGATGGCACATGGCCATACAACACCCAGTGCTCATCACACTCGGGCCCTCCTTCCTCCCTGTCACACACTGAGCCCGTCCCCATGCCCACCTCCCCTCCAGTAACCCTCAGTTTGTTCTCTGTGGTTCGGAGTCTGTCTCCCGGTTTGCCTTTCTTTTGTCCCGCCGTGTTCATCTGTTTGTTTCTTAAATTCCACATATGAGTGAAATCGTTTGCGGCTTGCCTTTGTCTGACTGAGTGACTGCGCTTAGCGTTCTGTTCTCTAGCTGCCCCGGCATCATTGCGCATGGCAAGATGTCATTGTCTCTGACGGCCGAGTAATAGTCCATTGTATATGTACAGCGTGTCTTCTTTTTCCACTTATCAGTCGGTGGGCATTTGGACTCTTCCCATAGTTCGGCTTTCGTAGATGATGCTGCTCTAAACATCGGGGTGCATGTACCCCCTGAAATCAGTCCCTTCGTATTCTTTGGGTAAATGCCTCGTACTGTAAATGCTGCTTCATAACGTACTTCTATTTCTAACTTTCTGAGAAACCTCCATCCTGTTTCGGAGTGGTTGCATTTTTGTCATTAATGGAACGTGTTTCTTAATGCTCCTCAGGAAGTGATGAGTGATAAAGCAGAGGAGTCCGCTGCTGGGCCCAAAGGCCAAGTGAGACGTCCTGGAAAACCCATCACTCCGCCTCCGTTTAAGAAAAGGCTGAGCATGCCGCTGCCATCAGTGAGAGAGGAAGGAGACGGAGCATCCCAGCCCGAGGGCTCAGCCATGTCCTGGGAAGATGGTGAGGATGGCTGTCCTCCCCTCCCTGACGTGACCCGACCCAGGGCAGCCAGGCCTCTGGCTCCTCCACGCCTCGGGATCAGTTCCCATCAAGGTCACCGGCTTTGGGTGATGCTGCCATTCCTTTCTCAGCCACACGGGACCAGGTGTTCACTCTGTCCTGCCTGGAAACATTCCTGGCTTCCCAAGCTCCGCACTCTCCTCGTTTCCTTCTCCTCCTTGAATTTGCCTCCGTTCTCCTTTCTGATCTTCTTTCTCTCCCCTTAAGACTGTCATTGTTCCTGAGTCCCACTGTTACACTGTCCCTCATCCCACACTGCCTCATCACTCAGCAAGCTGCTCCGGTAGCTTCTGAGCTCGCATCCTGCTTTCCCACTTGACCCCGTGTAGCCCCTTTGTGCCCGTGCACCCAGAGTGACCATGTCCACACAGGTATCGGGTCATGACATGCCTGTCCTGAAACCCATCCTCAACTCCCCCGAGCACGTAGAACGGAGTCTGAGCTCCTGATGCTGGTCTCCAGGCCCGGCACCCCCTGACCCTGTCATGGTTTCCTACATGCGCCCTCACCGTGTCCTTCTCGCTCTCTCTGCGTCTGTCCTTGGCTCCACAGTCCCGGTTAGTCCCCTCCTGGGGCCCTGCACGGCCCTCCCGGCAGCTGGACCTCCTCCTCTGCGTGGGCACAGGCCACCTCCGTCTCCTGTTCCTGGCTCTGCCCAGGGCTCACCTCCTCAGGGGGCCCTGCCCGACCACGCCTCACACAAGCTTCCCCTCCTGCTCTCGCTCACATCCCTGCTGACTTCCTTCCTTCCTAACACAAAGTCAAACTGTTTCATTCCCTGTGCTCATTGGGTATGCACCCTCTGACGTCCACAGGAGGTTATACATCCCAAAAGGAAAATGTTTCTTCTGCCTGGTTCACTCCTGACCCCCCGGCCTAGATGAATGAAGTAGACTTGTCAAACTTGAAAGAAAAAAATGCATTTTCTGAGACCCAAAAGCCAGATGAGGAAGATCATTTAGTGACTGGGGTTTCTGGTGATGGAGTGCCAATATCAGGCATCCTGACATCAAGTGACACGTTCAACTTTTCACCTTGTAGAGGGCATCAAGGGAACATTAAATCATGAGTTCCAGGGCTTATATATCTATCTGGTATATTTTCCTGGTATGAAATGAAATATTAGAGACTGTGGAACACATGGATGTGAGTGTGGGTTTGTTGAAATGCATGTCATTGCAGCTCCACCTTGAATTAGTTTTCCAGATGCACTTGTCCTTCACAGTATCCACAGGGAGAGAAGGGTAAGTGGTTGATCCCCACCTGATGGCTTCTGGTCAAATTCTGTTCTTCCAGACTTTATGAATATTGCAGGAGATGGTATTCCACACAGTCAGGTGGATTCTTTGTGTCATGACTTAGCCAGTGTCAGCAAGGGTGGGCTGATTCACAAACCTGGTCGTCATGCACTGGTGGGAGAAATCATTCCCAGTTGTCTTTTTGCAGATGACCCCAAAGTCACAGCAATGTTGGGAGATGTGCCAGATCAACTGCCAATACCAGTGAAAATCAATATGGAAATAAAAGAGCAATTAAAGAAAGAATTTCAACAGTTTGGAGGAAGTAAGTAGAATAAGAATTTCTGTCCACAAAACTCCAGGAAGTCTTTCCCATTCTATGAATCTGATTAGATTCAACTGACCTCTTGAGGCTCATCCTTTGCCAGAATTGGGTTTTCCGAGTTAAAATGGTTCCTCTTTAGTTTGACCAAAATGTCCCAGTAAACCTTTTTTTCTTGTTCTTTTGTGTTTCTTAATTGGTTATTGTGTACCAGATTCCACTGGTGGATATGTTTGGATGTCTGAATGGAAGCATGGAAAGCATAGGTACGCTGTAACATTGTAGCCATGGAATGATTGCTGAGACACCAAGATTGAGTTCAAACCCCTCTTTGTACTTCAGAAATATTGAAGGTTTATTTTTCTAAATATCTTCAGAACATGAGAGAATCTTGAAATTGCTTGAAGGAGTGCAAGGACCTCCAGAAGTGCAGAAAAAATTTGTTGTATATGCCATGAAGGAAGCGGCAAGGTGAGTGTAGGAGGAACTGTCCGGTATGTTTCACAGCAGGGCCCAGTGTGCTGCTGGGTGAGGGGTAGGGTAGGGCCCTGTCTGGCGTTTATCAAACCCTGGTCCTCACTCAGAGTTCATGTCATCCCCCGTTATTTAGTTCAATATATCTGAGTCTCTCCTTCTTCCAAGCTGAAGGAACCCTCTGTTCACACCAGAGTTTGAGGTGGGCCTTGACCCTGAACTGGCACTCTTTGTATTAATGGATTGTCCCTTACCACACAGATGTGTTTTCTGTTCTGTAAATTGAGCTTCTCTATGCATTTTCTACAGAGCCTCCTGCATCATGAATTCTTTCGGTATCTTTTGGTTAACGACTTATCTCTTTATTTTCAGATTTAAAAGACAAGACTTAATAAGTCACCTTGGGAAGGTACTAGATAAACTAGAATATGACCAGTTTCTCAAGAAAGATGATGGCTTCCCAGAATTATAATCCTGTTATCGCAATGATCAATGAGAAAGCAGAACCTGTTGGCTGTCCTGGAGTGTGACCAGATATTGTTGATGCCTCCCAGCATGAGTTAGCTAAGAAATTGTCTTCTTGAGGCTAAGAAAATGCACTGCAACTTTCCTGTTATAAGTTTCTGTTAGTAAAAGCTGGGCTTTTGCCATACGCATTTTGTTGAATGACTAATTTGGTGTTTTTGTGTTTGTTCTCCACTGAGTTTGGGGATATTATTAAGTCATCAAGTAAATACTATTACAGTTTTCATTTCTTTTGTGTGTTCTGTGTCTCATTGGCAATTATGACTGGGCACTGTCTAGCCATTTCTTATTCCCTTTTTCTGGGGCAGCCCCTCATCTGGTTCTTGTGCTTGTCCTGAGGGGATGACTCACACCTTAATTCCTGGAGGGTCTGGACCATTAGTTGTTCTGTCTGCATTGTGTTGTTGTAATTTTCCATTAACTATTCAGAAACATGAGAGTTCCTAGAAGAGCTTTATTTTTTTAATTATATTTATTTATTTATTTATTATGAAGTCCTTGTACATTTCACACATACTCCTTCTTAGGCCGTGTGTAGTGGCAATCCAGCTTCCTTTGATAGTCACATTCCATGTCTCCATGCCACAGAGGAACCTCTTTTTTGCTCATTGACTGACATAACATAATAAAATAAAATGAAAAAAGAAGAAATCCTGGGGCCAAAATGTTAAGAAGAAAAAAAAGGAGGGCACATATTGCAATGAGCACTGGATGTTATACGCAAATAATGAATCATGGAACACTACATCAAAAACGAATGAAGTACTGTATGGTGACTAACATAACATAGTCAATAAAAAAGAAAGAAGGAAATTCAACAATATGGACAAAGTAAGTAGGATAAGAATTTTTATCAGTGAAACCATAGGAATTCTTTCCCATTTTGTGATTTAAACTAGATTTTCATCCTTTGCCACAATTGTGCTTTCACATAATTTAGCAAGTTTCCTCTTCTTTTTGTTTTCATTTTTTTATTATGTTATGTTAGTCACCGTACATCACATCATTAGTTTTTGATGTAGTGTTCCATGATTCATTGTTGATGTATAACACCCAGTGCTCCATGGAATACATGCCCTCCTTAATACCCATCACCGTTCTTTTTTTTTTTTTTTTGAAGATTTTATTTATTTATTTGAGAGAGTGAGAATGAGAGAGAGAGAGCACATGAAAGGGGGGAGGGTCAAAGGGAGAAGCAGGCTCCCTCCTGAGCAGGGAGCCCAATGCGGGACTCTATCCTGAGACTCCAGGATCATGACCTGAGCCGAAGGCAGTCGCCTAACCAACTGAGACACTCAGGCGCCCCACCCATCACTGTTCTAATCCATCCCCTCGCCCCCTCCCCTCTAAAACCCTCAGTTTGTTTCCCAGAGTCCATAGTCTCTCATGGTTCGTCTCCCCCTTCGATTTCCCCCCCTTCATTTTTCCTTCCTTCTCCTAATGTCCTCCATGGTATTCCTTATGTTCCACAAATAAGTGAAACCACATGATAATTGACTTTCTCTGCTTGACTTATTTCACTTAGCATCATCTCCTCCAGTCCCATCCATGTTGATGTAAAAGTTGGGTATTCATCCTTTCTGATGGCTGAGTCATATTCCATTGTATATATGGACCACATCTTCTTTATCCATTCATCTGTTGAAGGGCATCTCGGCTCTTTCCACAGTTTGGCTATTGCGGACATTGCTGCTATGAACATTGGGGTGCATGTGGCCCTTCTTTTCACTACATCTGTGTCTTTGGGGTAAATACCCAGGAGTGCAATTGCTGGGTCATAGGGTAGCTCTATTTTTAAATTTTTGAGGAACGTCCACACTGTTTTCCAAAGTGGCTGTACCAACTTGCACTCCCACCAACAGTGTAAGAGGGTTCCCCTTTCTCCAGAAACTCTCCAACATTTGTTGTTTCTTGCCGTGTCAATTTTTGCCATTCTAACTGGTGTAAGGTGGTATCTCAACATGGTTTTGATTTGAGTTTCCCTGATGGCTAGTGATGATGAACATTTTTTCATGTGTCTGTTAGCCATTTGTGTCTTCTTTGGAGAAGTGTCTGTTCATGTCTTCTGCCCATTTTTTTTAATTGATTATTTGCTTTTTGGGTGTTGAGTTTGAGAAGTTCTTCATAGATCTTGGAAATCAGCCCTTTGTAGTGTCATTTGTAAATATCTTCTCCCATTCTGTGGGTTGCCTCTTTGTTTTGTTGACCGTTTCCTTTACTGTGCAGAAGCTTTTTATCTTAATGAATTCCCAGTAGTTCATTTTTGCTTTTGCTTTACTAACCTTTGGAGATGTATCTTGAAAGAAGTTGTCATGGGTGATGTCGAAGAGGTTACTGCCTATGTTCTTCTCTAGGATTTTGATGGAGTCCTGTCTCACATCGAGGTCTTTCATCCATTTTGAGTTTATCTTTGTGTATGCTGTTAGAGAATGGTCGAGTTTCATTCTTCTGCATGTGGCTGTCCAATTTTCCCAGCACCATTTATTGAAGAGACTATCTTTTTTCCATTGCATATTTTTTCTTGCTTTGTCGAAGATTAGTTGACCATAGAGTTGAGGGACCGTATCTGGGCTCTCTATTCTGTTCCATTGATCTATGTGTCTGTTTTTGTGCCAGTACCATGCTTTCTTGGTGATCACTGCTTTGTAATATACCTTGAAATCAGGCAACGTGATGCCCCCAGCTTTGTTTTTCTTTTTCAACATTTCCTTGGCAATTCAGGGTCTTTTCTGATTCCATACAAATTTTAGGATTGTTTATTCCAGCACTTTGAAAAATGCCACTGGAATTTTGATCGGGATGGCGTTGAAGGTATAATTTGCTCTGGGTAGCATAGACATTTTAACAATGTTTATTCTTCTGATCCATGAGCATGGAATGTTTTTCCATATTTTTGTATCTTCTTTAATTTCTTTTATGAGTGTTCTGTAGTTCCTAGAGTATAGATCTTTTACCTCTTTGGTTAGGTTTATTCCCAGGTATCTTATGGTTTTTGGTGCTATTGTACATGGAATGGACTCTCTAATTTCTCTTTCTACAGTTGCGTTGTTAGTATATAAAAAAGCAATTGATTTCTGTGCATTGATTTTGTATCTTGCCACATTCCTGAATTGCTGTATGAGTTCTAGTAATTTGGGGGTAGAGTCTTTTGGGTTTTCCACATAAAGTGTCATGTGATCGGTGAAGAGAGAGAGTTTGATTTCTCCTTTGCCAATTTGAATACATTTTATTTCTTTTCGTTGTCTGATTGCTGTTGCTAGGACTTCTAGTACTATGTTGAACAATAGTGGCGAAAGTGGGCGTCCTTGATGTGTTCCTGATCTTAAGGGAAAGGCTCTCGGCTTTTCCTCATTGATGATGATATTTGCTGTGGGTTTTTCATAGATGAATTTTATGAACATAAGAAATGTTCCCTCTATCCCTATACTCTGAAGAGTTTTAATCAGGAAAGAATGCTGTGTTTTGTCAAATGCTTTTTCTGCATCAAGTGAGAGGACCATAAGATTCTTTTCTCTCCTCTTATTAATGTGTTCTATCAATCTATCAATTGATTGATTTGCGAATGTTGAACCACCCTGCATCCGGGGATAAATCCCACTTGATCATGGTGGATGATCCTTTTAATGTATTGTTGGAACCTATTAGCTAGGATTTTGTTGAGAATTTTGGAATCCATGTTCATCAGGGATATCGGTCTGAAATTCTCCTTTTTGATGGGGTCTTTGCCTGGTTTGGGGATTAAGGTAATGCTGGCCTCATAAAATGAGTCTGGAAGCTTTTCTTCTGTTCCTATTTCTTGAAACAGCTTCAGGAGAATAGGAATTATTTCTTCTTTGAATGTTTGGTAGAATTCCCCAGGGAATCCATCAGGCCCTGGACTCTTGTTGTTTTGGGGAGGTTTTTGAACACTGCTACAATCTCATTACTGGTTATTGGCCTATTCAGGTTGTTAATTTCTTCCTGT